AGAATATTGTGAAAAAATTGTCTTTGTGGCAAATTTGCCGCAAGCGACCGCGGCGAAATGAGCCGTTTAATTTCTGTAGCTGACGGACAGAGGGCGTTAGTTCACGGCAGAGCACCGCAGAGCACCTCGCGGCGAACTGCGCAAACTGCAGGAACCTCACAAATGTTTCAATTTAAGACATTCCATAATCTTAAAAACGTGAGTTAAGCTCTCACCATTTTATTCAGAAAATGGATTTGGCCGAGCTTAGTGACCTAAGCAAATAATTTTCTGATTACTTCGAGGAGGACATTTGTTTTCTTACTAACTTACGCGCGTCGGATAGCTGATGAAATTATTTATTGATTTGTTTCGAAAATTAAGGACAAGTTTACAATGCATCCTATTGCAATTATAGTTTTTAAGCGTAAGCAGTTAATCAGTTTTATTGTGCGCTATTTATGCACTGTGAATTTGTTGTTTGAGATTTCTCGTGAAACTTGAAGTTTTCGTGCACTAGTTTGCGAACCATCTCAACTAGGGCCTTTTAAATCAAAACGGTGCCAGCTTAATTAAAAATGCAAACAGAGTCACTGAAATTAATTTAAAAAGGTGTTTATAAATTCAATATAGAGTTGCAAGACTTCCTGAATAACGTTGCTAGCTGTAAATGTTATATTTTACATAAAAAATCCTAAATAACGTCTAAGAAGCACATACTTACGTCAACAGTTTGACTCCGATATAAGCTTGTTAAGTTATGTATGTTAATGTTAAGTTACAATATAAGAACACTACAGTCCACTCCCACAGTGTTCTGAGCTGATAAGGGCCAACAACACGAACATTATCAACATGTATTGTCAACTATGATCTGGAATCAATGCTTATTTTTATAGCGCTTTTATATAAAGAATGAAACTATTCTCCTTTGGGTGTGGTACGTATTTCACTTCATACCGCTTCAATAGAAAACCTTAATGTATGCAGACATAATTAATTTTCTGTCTTAAATCGTGTTAAATATTAAGTCAGTTATTTTTAAATGACTGTACTTAATGTAGCCATTTTAAATGACTGGTTGGATAGGGAAAGCGCTGTGCAGTTCACATCCAGCTCGCATGTAAAGTTTTAAGTCTCTAGTCTAATACTCGTCGCTATTAACATACCTAGAAATGTTATGAGTGTTAGTTCTGCCGATGCCAAAAGTTAAAAATCGAGGCGGAGCATAACCGAGCCAAGGTTTTTAATTTGAACGAGACAGTAATAATACTAACATTGGTAAGTTCAGCGTTTGATCGGTCACCATAAAATCTCAATTATTTTAGAAAGTTTACATTACTGCGATATGAATCACATGAATTCTGTTATTGGGCACGATAATCGATATTGTTGGGTATTGCTTGCGATATATCTACTTCAACAATACACTTGTATACTGTGGCTCGAGGAAGATGGAAGCTGAAAATTAGTCTGTACCTCAACACATTTTGTATGCAGCTGGGAATCCACGCGAGATTTAATCCCTGAAAAATCTAAAGCACGATACGAGAAGGCATACGAAGAATTTAAAACTTGGCAATTACAAAATCACGTAGCCGTGATTATAGGAAATTTAATGCTTGCGTAAGAACTTGGTAAGGTAATTTACACTTATTCCTCTTATAAAGACAAACCTTTGTCTTACGTTTTACGTTTTGTGTATGTTTTAAAAATAATGCGTGTCTTTGATTACCATTTGTCTTGTAAATTACCATGCGATTTTTTCGTAATAATGTTGACTTGCGATGAATGGGTGGTTGTTTATTTACGTTGCTAAGTATGTTAAAACCCGTTGCTAGGGATATTAAATTTTTTAACCTACAGGTAGGTACAAGTGCACTTAAACTTAACAGGTTGCATGTTAACAAGGGTTAAAGACCTATAAACAATGTAATATCTTCCCGAAAATCTAATTTCTACATGCCAGCAGTTACGTGCTGTCTACTGCTAACTTGCATCGTCCGAGATGCCTACCTGCAGGTACTGCTGGGTCTGCAGCTGGCGCTGCGAAGCGGAGAGTCCTTGAGGCTCCTGCGCGGGTGATGGCGGCGGCGGCGTGGGGATCTTCACCACGATGTTGGTCGGCTCCCGGGTCACCTCAGCCTTGAAGCCCTGGACACACGAGTACGAACTGAGACTCTTGTTTCGACATAACGCAACTAAATATAACAGTCACGAAAATCTACAATTATCAGACGGCGTCTGTTAAGGATCTTAACAGTTCGCCTTCTGTCACGAACCATTGAGATTGCTCATTGTCCATTGAGATTGCCCACATATACTGCACTCTACTGCACTGCGGTCTACTTAGCAGATGATGTCATGTTTCTTGAGTTTGCTTCTGAGATAAAAATATATTAAGTATCTCCTTTCAAAGTGATTATATTTGTTACAGATTTTTAAGTAAATAAAGAATTAAAGTTTTTATTAATCAATTATGAATAAAAAATGGACTTATATACATAAAGTGCAAAAACTCAAATTCTGACTTTTCGAAACTTGATAATAAATTATAATAAAAGATATCATTACTATTATTATTATTGTTTATTTTAAAAAAAATATTCGGTGGGAACGTATGGCAGAACTTTTTTAAAAAAATAAAATTAAAATTCTAAGTAAAACAATAACACATGTAAATTGTGTAATGTAATTCTATAGGACTAGGGAATTTTCTCAAATCCAACTCAATTCTTGTTAGTTTCAAATGATCTGCTTATTGGAAAACTTTGCGATACATTTTATTTACAAGCATTATTTTATATTTGGACATCCATTGCACTCCAGAACTATTTGTTTAACGTACTACGTGAGCTAAAATCGTTTTAAGTACACGCAAAATGTTAAATTTCAGTATCATGATCATTAATATGAAACTGAATGAATACGAATATCCAATATTGAATAAATGCCGCTTCAGTTATGAAAAGAAGTTGTATAAAGCTTCTAAGTCGAAAAAATGTTTTTACTTCCTTGTGCATTCCATTTCTCGCAAAACACATTAATTAATCTCAATTTTAATTTTCATTTTGTTTCGAAATTCCGAAATTATTTAAAATAAAATCACGTAACCATGTGAAGTTGTGTACGTTACATATGTGGGAACTGCCTCTCCTTCAGAAAAGTTACTAAACTTAAACATTAATAGAAAAATAATCTAAGACCTTTAGAAGTCAACAACTTCATTTTCCTGAATCCAGACAATAGACCAAATGCTTAATGGTCTTTCAATGAGTCCAATGAAATAATGATATTTTTTCCAAGGTTTATCACCAGGGGATGAAATTTGATAACCTTTTATTTTAGTAATAATTTTTCTACTTATGAACATTACTCATGTTACATTAACATGAATGGACTAACATAACCAAAGCCTTTGCTTCAGGTTTATTTCAAGTATTATTATTCATTTTATATAGCTAATTAATTACTACTCTTATAACTACTATTATTAATAGTTTGGAATTTTTCTCATTTGGGTCGATTCAAAATTCAATTATCATAACGAAACTTGTCTTCTACATTCACGTATTTATCTAATATGCGTGTATATATGCTCAAATAGAACACAAGAATAAAAATGTTCCTATTTGCGAACAATTATTTACAAAATTAACAAACTGAAGATTGTGTTAATGTTTTATATCTCTATTGCTTCTATCTTTTCAAACGCCTTTCCCTTCTCCCTTCTTTGGCGGTCGCGATGACCGGCAGCGACGAGCGTCGCAGAGAGGCACCTAGCGGTGAGAGAACGAACCTCGACGGGGTCAGCGGTGTATTTAACGGTGCGGATGAAGCCGTCGGAGTCGACCACGCTGTAGCTTCCAGAGATCTTCCCTCCGTCGCGATGCTCCTTGCGGTTCTGGTAGTTTGTGAACTCGTCATCCTTCACGTCGAAAGAGAACTGGTATTGAGGGTTAGGCTGAAAGAAGAGAAAAGTATTTTATATAAAACATATATTAAGCTATAAAAGTTTACTTCAGTACAATAAATATGACACACAAACATGAAATACATCCAAGTTTTTATTTTCGTTTTTCTCATTTTATGTACGTTTTCCACCTAGAGAATATATGTGCGTAACATAAATGTTCAATTAGTATTTAAAAATTAAAATAATAAAATATAAAATGTCAATAAGCTTAACAGAAATTCTGAAAATATGTTCAGTATGTTTGTTTTTTCTATTTGTTGTTTTTTATATATATTTTCATTTATTAAAGACACTTCATGTTTCCTCGGTAATGGTGATCTAGTTCCAAGGGATGGCTCTGAAATTAATAGATTGGAGAGTGGAAGTAAACAAAAGTCAGGAACAGTAATTACAACATTTTAAGCAATAAATATGGCTTTCACGCGGAACGTATCCCTTCATTATATTTTACTGAAAACAAGCAAGGTATATAAAAGAAAAAAAGAGAAATAAATATTAAGCTTTCAGTAAATTTACAGTCTGATCATTACCTATAATACAAATTTACAATGTGCGCAGAAATTGAAAGAGAACTATCACTCCCCAGTCATGTGGAAGGTGTCTATAAATTTGGTAGATATTCAGGAACTCGGGGAAAATACAAAAAACAATTAAGCTGTTCCGATTTTGACTCAAAATTGCATTTTTAATTTAAATTTAAATGTGTTATTCCATTAATTCTCGCTTACCACACCCAGAGTGTTACGACTTACAACACAGCTGACATCATGCAATAGAGAGGCTCCAAAGGAGAGGCCACCCGCCATTAAATATTTGCTATCTACGAGTTGCGGTATAGAACAGCAACTTTTTTTATCTTCTTGGAACGTAAAGAACCCTTTTACTACATACATACTATACAAGTATAGTAGCCAAGCTATTGTAGTATTAATGAAGACTGATTTTATAAAAATATTTAATTTATTGCAGTCCTATAAGAGTATTTTATTTGTTGTTCTTGAACAGTGTGCGCTAATTTTTGGAAAACCATTTTGTATGTTTTTTTTCATTAGCGTTTTTACTATTCCCAAGTTCATTTCTAATTCAGTGAGCAAGTAAGATTAATGTAAAAAACAAATATTAAAATTACTCTTCCCGTCGTCATAAGCAACAACAAATTACAACATTCTAGTGCGTTAGATTTTTCTCGTAATTCCTTGAACATATGCATTTAAAAACACGCTTTGGCAGATACATTCGTCAGAAGAGTGTAAGTTTTAGTACGCACGCGTTAGAAACTTGCGCTTGCGTAATAGTAGAAACGCATTTCCGCTAATGAGTTACGTCGCAGAGGAAACGGAAGTCATCGTGCCTTAGGGTTGTAAACGAAGTGTGGTGGAGTCAGGCGTCGGGAGCTAAATGTCCCACTTCTTGCCCCGGAGGCCCGAGTGCGCGTGGGCAACTTCGTAACGTTATTATCGCGTTTCCCTCGCGCCTTGAAAGAGAGCTCGGGTTGCAGTCATCATTGCACGACACGTGTTCAGAGTGTAGACAGTTATGTGACAGGTAGCTCCGAACTTAATTATCAATCATAATACGGATTTATTCCTGTTGTTTTGCAATTACTAGTAAGATATTATCATTTATAAGCTACCACTAATTTCCTATAAAATCGATGCCTTCATATCATTCCGGCTATATGTTGCGCTGAGACAATTCAGTTGAATGCGATAACCCCAGTACTGATTTCCTTCTGATAGGCCGAACCTTTAACCCAGTTAGTTCCTAAAAAAATTCATGAGCAATTTCATCATTTTTATCCCACTACCTGACGACAGACCTACACAAACAGGCGGACTGAGGAACTGCTTGGCTGATTCATTTTTTGACTAAACGTCGTCAACAGTTCTTGATGTAAAAGACAGTTATCATACCTATTCTTTGGTTTAATGGTATGACCATTCCTCAAAAACACCTTTTACGATTACACATAATACTTAAATTGCATGCCTATAAACCTTAATACCATAAGATGTACAATCTTATCGTATGGAATGTAATTCTCGACAACAACGTTTTGCTTTGCTTGCAAAGAAGTTTGGCACATCCTCTGTCTTCGCGTTACAATAGGGAGATGAAGTCGCTTTCACAAGCATGCGCCATCAGAATGTTCTAACGCGTCCAAGAAAACGCAAACAGGTGTAAGTCACAAGAAAACTCGAACAAAGGAAACGGAAGGAGCGCCCATAAAAAAACAGCAGATTAGGCAACGTGAGTGGCGTCTCTCACGACGCGCCGTTTACGACGGCACGTAACCGCGTCGCCCGACGACGACGCCGCGGCGGAGGCGGAGGCGAACCATTGTGTGCGCGAGAGCTGCGACACTGCCGGCAACGCCCCGCACTAGCACGACCTCCCCCCCTCATCCCCCCCTGGCTGCACCGTGCCCGCCCACGACCATCGCCGCTGGAACGGTGACATCACCCGCCCAACTCGCTCCAGGTCACCCTGTGTCGTGTCGCGTGGCCGCAGACTGCTGGCGACCGCGTAAGCACTCTGACGTAGAAGCTCCGCCGCTAAAAGCGCGTCCCAGCAGGAAAGGAATATGAAACAGCTTGACCTCCGCTTAGCGAGGGGATGATTGCTACTCGTGAACTCGTCGCCCGGGTGTACGGACGACACACTGCTCCGTCGTTTCAGATCGGCCCTAACTTGCTCTGCCGACCTCTCTTCATCACTAGTCTGTTCAGGTCGGCCCTAACTGGCCCTGCCGACTGCTCTTCACCCCTAGTCGGTTCACATCGGCCCTAACTGGCCCTGCCGTCACTCCTCTACCCCGCTAGTTCAGACCGACCCTCCGGGGTTCTGCTAGCAGCTTCCCGCCCTTACTACCAACCACCGTGTACTTCGAGTGTTGCCAACTATTCCGATGGCCGCTGCAAAGTCTCTCTTCCGGAGAACAGTCCTTCGCGAGGCTGAGCTACGTCAGGTGCCTATGGGAATAACATCTCCCAATAAGCTGATGGTTGCCATGGCCGGGGTCATCCCTGTTCTTATTGCTCCCTCTTATTGCGCTTTAGGATAATCGGGAACGGCCCGGAGGGAATCTTCTGCCCTTACAGTCCTTCCACTTCCCCACACGTGGTGCCAGACCCTAACCCCATGACAGTAATGTTTTATGCAGACTTTCTGAAGAACACTGCTTCTTTTAAACGTGTCGACGTGTATTAGGGTGAGTATGGATAAATAAAAGCTTATACTTGTAGAAGTGCCGCGAAGATAACTACCTTAAAGGAGATGCGTGTCTGTCGCGACGCGACGCGAGATACGTCTCTCCTGGATATCTGGCGCAGGAATCTCTGTGAGACATGCTTCTTACGGATGTACAATTGTCATCTGATGCTTTGGGTCAACCTACGCAAGTGACACATTCGTGTTTCAAGAGCATCGAAGGCTGTTATCGGTATCTAAGGTGTGGCACCACGTTGAACGACAGAGCAAATTGTCCCGCGTTAGGTCATGGGGTTGAAGAGGATACAGCTGTCACGGAAAATTTTACTGCATGTGGAGTGGAAGTTGATTTTCTACGAAGGAATGGGGAAAAACGAACCAACAAATCTAAAACCCTTACTCAACGAATCAATGCTGGAAACATTCGTTAGCAAATGATTCAATTAGGCTCTGGAACTGTCTACTAGAGATTGGTCTAACTGGTTGCTAGAGATTGTATAACCCGTGCGTATTACAGTACGCAGTGCAGATATTGAATCACTCGGAAGGAAATTATCGTTTGGTAATTGATAATTTTATGAGAAACGTGCACTACAAAGCTAATAAGATAATTCTTTTTTGTAGGACAATTTCAACAAAAAATTATATTCTAGTATAAATATATGAGAATGGAACGGTAAGTTCCAGAAACTGAGCTTGCAAACGTATAAATATTCTTTAAAAAGCCAGTATTTTCAATTAATTGAATTCTTTCAAATTAATTGCTGATTAACATCAATTACCAATCACTGCATAATTATTCTATTGTAAGTATAAAGTTGTCATTAACTGAAGGTTAAGAAGAAATCTGACGTCAGAACAGGAATTTCTTGAATACCTAAAATAGACCTTGATTAAAAGATACAATCCCATAAAGTATTCACAATTTAAACATATGGGGCAAAAGGAGGAACTAACAAACAAATTCACGTGATTTCCTTCACGTGGCTCCTATAGTCTGTGATGTGTATATACCATAGTATAGCATATCTCGGTATCATCAGGCAAAAAATACACCACCAATATTTTCTGCAATTAGATGAACAGTTGTTCATCTCGGTTTGCTGAGAAACGCTTTATTTCTTCTATGACATTCATTTCATATAAACCCATATAAGACCTCTTCCTCTGTACACTTGTTCAATTTAGACAAATGCTGGTAAATACAATGTCAACGAAATACAGATAGTCCAGAACAAATACCTAAGACCTTTCACCTAGCCCCTGGTTCATTTCTATTAAACAATTACTCCACATACTTGAAATTAAACACATCGCATACCACAGTTCATTTCTTGACAATTTCTACTCAAATCTACCCTTATTAATCAAGATATACATATTAACACAAGGAAATTTAATAAAAACCTAACAAGAATAGTAAAAACAGATATCCCATCCATTCTTTTCTGCACATACTTGCCAATCTTAATTATTTTTTGAGATGCTCTGTGAGTTTCCTCCTCAATTGTAATTTAGATTAGATTTAGTTTATAACTATTATTTGTTTCTATATTAATAATACATAAATATTTTCAACAATAACAGTGAATCGTTTCATGTTATGTAACACTGTAAATCAATCCTATATAAAAACGTCAGAATTGTCGTGTAGTGGCAATCCGCAAATGGCGATAATGACTTTCCGAGTCTACAACAGCGCCGTGAGTCTTGGAACTGTGCACAAACTTTAGATGACACTCGGGCTAAAATAGTTTATTACAATGAATTATGTAAGT